ATCTAGCACACTATGTGAGATACGTCTTTGTGTGGTTCATTTTATTATCCATATATATTACTATATTTACAAAATGTTTAAAACAAGTCGTGTATGACTTAAAGTTGTATTCGCGTGTAAAGTGAGTATCTCTAGTACCGGGGGAGGGATAGTGTGAACAATTTCAGGTATTTATAATAGGGCTACGACTTGTTATGGAGAGGTGATTCAGCAAAACTTTTGATATTTCTCGACATTATATGATATCCTGCAACTTCAATGTTGTACTTTTCTACGTGTATTGATCAGAATGAATAGAACGTTGTGTGAACTTGTTGTATTGCAGCAACACTGGCTCCCTTACCGCGCAACCCACGACCCAGTGGAGGATGTGACCCCAAGCCAGTCTCAACATCCTCCACTTGGACTGTCAGAAAGGGAATGGGGAGGTGGTGAAATATGTCCTCTCAAAGGACCTGGTGGACATCAATGCCAGGGACGCTGAAGGACAGACAGCAACCAAGATGGTGAAAATTCAGAGTCGAAAAGACGTGCTTGATCTTCTTTTGTCACATGGCGGTCACTTGTAGTAGGTGAAACAGTTTGCATACATTTATGTTGTTATCTACATTGGGGTGTGGTAAAGCCTACTGCAGCCTGTGTAAGTACCTTATGATAATTTCTTCATGTATGACGAGAAATACAAATTGTATATCTTCTATATCTTTGTAATACATAATGCTTGCAACGTTGTGGAATCTGGTAGAATGGCTGTTAAATAGATATTATGATCAGAAGAGACACATTACATCTCCAAAGAATTTTGTTTTATTATTTTTTTTACATGATCATGATACAAACAACTTTCTGGTTACAGCTCCGAGCATTCTCCGAGCTTTAAATGAAACAGTTTTGCTTAACTGGTGTAAGGTGCTTGTTTGCACAATCTCAGGTCACATTCACCTCTGCTTGCAGTAAGGATTTAAATATTCATTACAAATCTATGGTTCTGATACGTGACACAAACTGGATCCTGAGTCTCAGTTGCCAAACGCATGATCACCTGTCCCGAGCACTAACAAAGGAAGCAGACTTTCATGCCACTGATCATGCTTTCTGACAGGGGACAACGATGCCTGAACGCCAGAGTGGTTATCAACTAACTTTCAGTGCTGCATCTGGATCACGCAGATTAGGCAAGAATCTAGAAAGTTACTAGGTCATCCCATGGAAGCGGCGAGATTCACCTTTGTTCTGTGGAACAGTTATGTTTGTCAGAGCTCTAATTTGCTTTGATGAACTTCAAGGCCATGCTCAGTTTACTCAGAAAAGATTCCTGAGCCTGATTCCTGATTCCTTTGATACCGAAAGGTAACCTTAGCCACCGGAATATGCCTATCGGGTTGTTAAATGATGTCCTTATTCACAATCCAACTGAATCTGGAGAAATTCGGATTTTGCATCCAACACAGAAACACCTTTGTATTTGGAATGGATGAAGCACCATTTTCTACCTTTAGAATCAGGTCGTGCTTCCTGCGTATCAACCGATTCAAGTCTTTAGGATCTAGACCTCCGCGCACCTTGTCATATCTCACAAGAGGTTCTGTGACCATAGTGATGTGTCCATTAGCTTCCATTTCATGGATCATGCTTGTGATGTTGTCAGCCAAAACTATGATTGTTGGTTCGAATCCCAGTTCGCCCAGATTATGCTTCTAGGTTTCTCAGCACCATACCCGTGCTCGTGTGTTTCACCGAAGTGGTAAACGTCTGAGACCTGCATGACTTCGGGCTTTCCTCCCATAATAAGCTGACACGCCGCAATATAACTGAATTACCGTTAAAAGCGGCGTTGAACCGTATTTACGCCTCAGGCGAACTAAGTGAGCTCAATCGATGGAGAACATTGGTACATTGTCCAGCAGTTTTTTTTGTTATTTTGTTCTCAGCAATAGTCCAGTTATATGATGGCGGTCTATATAAAGAATCGAACCTGGACAAGACAATCCAGTGGTTAACATCATGAGCGTCGATCCTCGCAATTTAGATGCAATGACATGCATTAACCAAGTCAGCTAGCCTGACAACCCGATCCTGTTAGTCGCCTCTTAGGACAAGCGTAGTCGCCATTTACGGCAAGCATGGGTTGCTGAAGACCAACTCTACCCCGGATCTTCACGGGTCGTCAAGGAAGTGAACCAGAGGTGAGATCATGCCAATGGGCATCTATCTTAACCTTGATTAAGCAGTAAGAAAGGGTGTCTTTAGAGCCTGACATCGATATTGTTGGATTGTTTTAGTATCCTGTAAAAGATTTCCCCACAACAGCTGCATTTGCATCATTTTACAATACTGAGACTCAATTTTCTTCGAAAACTTGAGCGTTCATATTCTGAATTAGTGTCCCTTTAAAAGGTGACACATCACACACTCTGGTAGTCTGTATGTCGATTATTTTATCACAGTTCCAAACTGTCTTTGGATACACAGTGCATTGGCACAAGCTCGAGTCAGTTTGAGGGAAAACCACACCATCACACACTTTTGGAAATATGACATTTTACAAGAAGCAATCCACGATGTTTGTGCCTTTTAACGATATAAGCGTAAATAGGTCATATGCAATTACACTTGTGCGTCCATTTATAACATGCGCTTTCAACAGTTTACACGTGTATCTGTTCAGTTCTTCATCACCTGAATGGCCTGTAATGTTGAAGCTGTCTGAATCAGCTATATAATCAGACACGAGAGCTCTTCCTTCAATAAAATCACCTCGCAGTATATACAGACATCAAATCGTACTAACGTTACTTATATAAACTCTTTTTTTGTGTTCGATTTTCAGGTGCTACCGGTAGGGCAGCTGGGTAGGGTTACCGTTTTCACTTAAACCTTTTGTCATCACTGACTAGGAGGTAATGGTTTGATACACACTGCAATACTACCTGAATATCTACCATGATCTGGACCCCTGAAGATCTGGATGGAATAGGTCTTCAGCAATTCATGATTGAATTAATGTTGACTTTGGATGTCGTAAGAGGTGACTAACGGGATTAGGTGATCATGTTCGCTGACATGATTGATACCGTATACCATTTGCGTTGGAGGGTCATGATGTCAATCACTTGATAGTCTGATCCTGACTCGATTATTTACAGTCCTCGTCAAAGAATAGTGCTGAGTGCGGCAAACAAACAAACCACATTCGTGTAGCATCAGAAAGTGAGAAAACAGCATATTCCATGTACGAATATTGAGTTTAAGCATTGCAGCATTATGTTCAGGTGAAATAGGTGAGTCACAGGCCACGGCCAGTTTCACATTTTCCACAAGGACATCTTGATACATCAGCTAAGACCCGTGAAGATCCGCTGGTGTTGATGGGTTCTTGTTCCATCCATCCAGTTATATCCTTGTCCCGCCTTACGGATATCAGATGTTTGTTGGCCGAACACAAGTACAGACCAGCTTGTTGCTAAAACATTTATTTTTTTATTGTTGTCTCTGGCTCTGGTCTCAAGGGGATGGCTGTGCCCTGATCCATCGAACTCGTCTTCTGACATTCTGTAAGTATCATCTCCGTTCAGTGTTTTACAGCTGCTTCCAGGATGGTTGGTTCGTCTTTATATTAACAAGGTCTGGTATCTGTTTTGGAGAACAGACGATAGACCGGATGGACCCTCTCTATGTGTACACAATCTACAGAAAACAATCCACTGAAACCCTCTTAAAATCATTTCACCATCTTCCCAAGTATCTCTCATCTGATATTGGAGCCTATGGAAGACCGAATTGTTTTGAGGTTGGCTTCTTAAATGTTCATTTTGCCCTAAAAAAACCTACTGTGTGTCTCGGTTCTCTATTTTCTTCTTTAAAATGCTCTGCTTTATTATAAAAATCCTTTGTAAACAAGTAGAACTTGTTTCGAAGGTAGGAAATTTCTGAGGGTATTGATTGCAGCGCTACATCGACAACAGTCATAGTTGTAAGATAATTATGCACCTCAGGGATAAACACGTACCAGGTTCCTTTGTAGCTGAAAGTCGGGTCTGCAATCTGTCCAATGAACTAGATTCTCTCTGTGGATTACTTTCCCAGGGACTTGAGTTGGACTCCGGGTCTCCCGCAAATGATTAAATGTAAACATATCCATGTACCCTTAGGTGGCGTACTACCGATGAGGAAACAATTTCAATGCTGCTGCTCCAAGATTCGATTGACATACCTATGCTATCTGTAGTGACAGTCCGATGTCATCTGTACCTCCAGTAAAATAATCTAATTGTCGCGTTGATCGATTTTGTATCAATCCCGTCGATGTTTGTGTTCCGCCATAACAATCACGTGATTTGTTATGTATAAATACTCATGTAAGCTTGGAATATATCGTAATAAAAGATTACAGAGTGCTATGTCAGATGTCACATGTCACATATGTTACCTGCATCAATTAAAGGAAAGAAGTAATATTTTGTAGATGTGGTAAATGTCCAGCTTTAGCAATATCACGTACATGTACCTTACACAAGGATACTTATAACTCTAAACTACTCTGTATCAACATGAAGTTTCTCCGTATTTACAGTCTTGCCTCTTTGGTTTCTATCACCTGTTGTGTCAATTGCCACATTACCCCCGAGGGGGATTCGGGGTTAGAATACGTCCCAGCAACCAATGCTGCTTTACGAGGCGACTAAATAGATCGGATGGCCAGGCTCAGTTACTTGGTTGATTGCGTGTCATCGTACTCCGATGGCGTGGATCACTCGATTGCCTGGTCTATATTCATTTTTTTAAATGTATGCAATTGTCCGATGAGTTTCCTACCTTCCGCTTTTCAGAAAATAAATGACTGCTCGTGACTGTGGCATTAATACTTGAAAGAGGAAGTATTTGACTCTTTCACCGTTTGACATTAACTCACTCACCTTTCAATATAGAGAGGAAAACTGGTAACTCGCATGACTTCCCTTTGATAAGAGAAGAAAACGCTAGTTTGACAGATTCAAGGTTGTTTTCTTCAACAGTTTTCGACATTAGAACTCAAGACTGACAGCAAGGTTTTGCAACTGAAGGGTTGGTTTGTTAAGAGGAATAACAAGGTGATGTGACACTTCTTACTGTAAAGCAGTGTACTTTCCATGGAGAGCATCACATGGGTAAGATGGACTAACTTTCTCCTACTTCATCTCCACCCATGGATACAATTCTTCATTCTTATTTCGTGGGTGAGCAAGTAAGTGAATATTTCCAGCAATGTTTCAGCTACCGTGTATAATGAGAGCATGTAAATAATCAATTTTGTACGAGGCAAAGGTGAGACTGACAATTTAAAAACGACCGCCACTATTTAGATATGAGAACAGCTGGACATATATCCGTTCAACACATTTGTTGAGATCATTTCACGATTTTAATGTGTGATACATGTTTATATATGTGAATTGATGCAAATGTGATGCTATAGTCTGGAATAAAAATAAATAGCAATTGAGAAATGTAAAAAAGTGATGAATCAGGAATCAAGCAGTATACCAGACTCGTATCAATTCATTTTCCACTGTTTCCATAGCATCTGCCCAAATCACGTTATCTGAACTCGTTTGTATAGTTGATCTGTACAGGGTGACGGGATGTACACAGGTTATATTAACCCCATTGGTTGCAGGATGTCAACTTCAGGCTTCGAACCTATACATAAGATGTCCCTATTTCTTCTTATGCATTTGTTTACGTCTTTGGCCGCATCCGAGGTTTAGTGGTCAGAGCATCTGGTTCGGTTCCCGGTCGCGTCATACAAACAAACCCCGCTAAAATATGGTAATTGTTCTTATTCTGCCTGTTGCTCGACATTAAGGGGGAAAAGGGACAGGTAAAACTGCTTCAATGCTGCCATATTAAATTGATTTAATGTTAACCCGAAATCAGTGCTGCTCAACCAGCACGTCCAAGTATTGATAAGGTTTATGTGTGTGTAAGCTTCAAATCACAAAGATCGGAGATGGTTATAAATGCCAACTGGTTGTCAAAATGTTGTTGGGTAGCCAAGTGGTTAGAGAGTTTACTCGTCTTGTCAGAGATCCGGGATCGATTCCCATCATGGGAATTATCTGTCAAGCTATTTACCTGTGTCTCTCGCTTTGATCCTGCTTGAATATTGCCAGGTTTGCGGTGTTAAACCACTCCTACCCACTCATTTTCTACATGCCGCCAGGTGTTGTGCCAGCGAAAAGGAAATAAACGCAGCATATTAACACATTTCTGTATCAATAATAAACATTACCGCATATATACATAAAAACATTGTTGTGATACGGAATTCATAGTTATAATAGCACTGAAGCTCCAGATTAAGTTCATATGTTGATAAGGAAAGCCGTTGTGTCAGTTTTTCTTTCAAATAGGTGATAATTTGATAGGCGTGTTTGTGCAACAACGGGTAGTTAGGATTTGCTGTTTTTGCTTTTGTATATATTATCGTTTGCAAGGGTTCATATGGGACGGGTTGTTTAATTGTTGAATACATCTTTGAAAAAAAACAACATATCTCAATTTTTCACCTAGGTCTGTCCTACTGTCAGGTTATGACAATATATACTTAAGTCAAAACATAGCACACAATAGAAACAGACCATAAAATGGTAGCCAGCGTCCAAACTAGTGTTATCCTCTGATGGAACTCGAAACCTAAATCGACACCAAGACTCAAAATTACTATTTAATAGACTAACCTAAGTTATTACCCTTTAACAGAGTGGTGAAAGAACTTTGTAACGACATGACGTCATGTCAACAGTATTTTATCAACCAAAACTGTTTTCCACAGGATATATTACGTGAGTGTCGAAGCTAAATATCCCCGGAGATATAGCTTCACTGAAATTGCATCACAATGCTTTGCATACCATAAAGTAATGCAATAGCACTGTGCTACGTGTATTTGCTGATAATGGTCGTCAGCCCCCGCGAAGATCAGGATTAGAAAAAGAACCCATGATTGTTGTAAGAGCCGACCAACGGAATCAGATTCGCTGGCTTGGTTAACGCGTATTATCGTACCTAAAATGAGCGGATCGATACTCATGATGTCACTCACTGGATGGTCTTGTGTCGATTATCTAGCTGGAATATTGCTGAGTTTGGTGTTAACCAACAACAATATCTATGTTTCTATGTGTGGAAGTACTGTTGTTTCAGTAAGGTTATGTTGCAACCATATCATAACATCAATCAGTTTACATGCTATAGCATAACTAGATGCTTTGTCAATCAAACGACGCGTTCTTCTGAATATATATCTCAATTGCATTAATATCCTGCAACCTCGCACCCTGGCGGTTTGGGCGTTGCTCAAACGGGGAAACAGAAAATGATTATATATTGTCAGCTCATACAACAGGCCTTGTAACCTGTAATCACCAGGGGAGACAAACAAGGGATAGAGACGACCAGAGTCCACTTTCAAAAAGCAATTTTAGCGCTACGACTAGAGTAAGTTAATGTTAAAGTATGAGGATTACTATCATCGTAGCGCTTTGAGCAAGTTGACGCAGGACCAGGTGTCCTGAGTGGTAGCCATGCATGGGGTACAGGATCAGATAATGAAAAAGATGCATATGGTATTGTGACCAAGACGCTTTACGAGTAGACTGGAACCTAGGATGACTGTAATCCTTAGGGTGAGGTGGCTATTGTATACTTTGAGCATATTTTAAGCAGAAATTTACCTGTGTAATCCCCACTGAAACAATCTGACTATCACTAAGTCAAACCTTCATAACAATAACAACAACAATACTATTACTACTACTATTACTAATAATAATATTTATGAGCACAACGTCTTACAGCAAATCAAGGTTGAGATAGATGCCAATTTGCATTGTCGCACCTTTGGTTCATAAGAAACACCAGCAGTGAACCAATGTTCTTCATCGTTTTAGCTTTAAAAGTATCTCGTATCTTATTGTCGCCTCTGCAATCTAATTATCAAGAATTTAAGTTTAGCTGGGTTGGTTTGATTGAAAACATTCGATTAACACTTGACTGATTTCTATTAATGATATTTTTTCATTCACTGACTTATTATGTTCTCTTATTTGTGGCAATAAAACAGAAATTATACTCGCCTAAATCCGACCCACTTTTCAGATATAGACCCATGTCGTATTCGAAGAAACAGAGTGTTGACATTATTACACACTCAGCTTAACGACCCGTGAAGATCCGGGATAGAACAGGTTTCCAGCAACCCATGCTTGCCGTAAAAGGCGACTATGCTTGTCGTAAGAGGCGACTAACGGGATCGTGTGGTCAGGCTCGCTGACTTGGTTGATGCATGTCATCGTTTCCAAATGGCGTGTATCGATGTTCATGAAGTCAATCACTGGATTGTCTGGTCCAGACTCCATTATTTACAGACCGCCGTCACATAGCTGGAATATTGCTGATCGCGGTATTAAACAAGAACGACAACAACAACAACAAATATGCGACTGTACATTGTTTGGACAGAACAAGCTACTATAAAACGACAAATTTGAACAGAAAAAATGCATCTTACACTGTTGAACACAGATTGAAAATACCGATGTCTATATCTAATTTATAGACATTTTCTGCCATTACGAAACCAAAACTAATAAGAAATTGTTCAAAGTCACTTAGCAGTAGAAAGCATCCAAGATCCGCAGTTCTTCTTACAAAATCAAGCCATAATTAACTACTGTCTTCTGTTGGCTGGATCCTGGTGGAATTATTCGTGCAGCAGAACACTAATTAAGTGAGTGAGTGATTGAGTGAGTTGGGTTTTACGCCACCTTTAACAGTCATATCACGGCATGTCAGCTTAATGTGGGAGGAAAGCCCGAAGTGATGCAGGTCGCAGACGTTTACCACTTCGGCGAAACCCACGAGCACGGGTATGGTGCTGACAAACCTAGAAACATAATCGGGGCGAACGGGTATTCAAACCCACAATCATAGGTTTCTGGCGTGCCCAAGGGACGCAACTCTGCACAGCGAATCGCTGCGCCTTAGACGACTGGGCCACCCGTGCCCCACACTAATTAAGACGGACCCACCTTGTGTTGATGGTTTGATCAACACAGATCAATGACCGCTCGTTATGATCTCATTATTCATTTTATTAAATTCACGAGTGACACGCGCGTACCACATGCCTGTTACAGGTGTTCCCACACGTGTGAACTGGGCACTATTGCATATGTATTCAATGATATAACCAACACAAGTATAATACTGACTCGATAGTTTAACAGCATACAAGTGACCCACTTTACATGACCAACACAAGTATACTCTTCACAGAAAGATACGCAAAGCCAAACTTGTGTTAGGTAGAAAAATGCATTTTTACGAGGAACCGTTCACGGTATTGAGTCAAAATGAATATTTGGTGATTGTAGTCATCTGGTGAAGGTCAGCTGCATTCAATAACGCGTATGTCACCTGTTGGAAACGATAGCGGCCTGACGTCTCCTGCCCATGGAAGAGACGAGTACGCGAATCACATCCTGGCGAATGGCAACCCACTCGGCCTGCAACGCAAAAGCCATCTGCTGCAATGTACGGGGTTGGGGTTGACATCGGCGTTACCGTCTATCCAATCCATCGCACAGGTGCTCTATCAGGTTCAAATCCGGGGATCTGGAGGTCCAGGGGAGAACATCGACGTCGTTTGTTGTGTAGAAAGGCTGTTGTGATCCGTGCTGTATGGGGTCGAGCGTTGAACTGCTGGAGCACACCGTCTTGTATATTGACACAACTAACCATGTCAATTCTTAGCTTCAGATGCTTCAAACAGAATTACCATGCATCTGAAGCATGAGAAAATTACCACTTTTTTTTAATTCAACCCTATATATATGTTTGTTTTTTTACACATCCTTGATGTACGTGTTTTTAAGTGTAGATCCAATATTGATGGCGAATTAATCATGATACACGAGTTCACAAAATCGTTTTGTGATGTTTGCTAAAATATAAAGTTGGGTAGCAATCCATATGTATTTCAATTGGAGAAAGTAGGTACACGAACTTAGTCTTTCAACAGATACCCGAGTGCGTCCCGATTGTGTATCTTTTGATTATTGTGGAATGTAATTATTCGCATATGACTTCCTTTCAAAATTGGTCTAGTTGGTTCAGTCACATAGAGCGTAAATCTGTCATCACGATTATCTCCCTATGATAATAATCAGTGACATCCGTCATCATTTTGCAACACTGCTCAAACATGGTTTGTTGTTGACGGACATGCACAGCTCACCTCCCTGAGAGAAAATAACTCACTCCGAATCACTTTACGAGTGTATAACCTGATTAGCATACGTAACGTGGTTCATTTTGCTGGTAACAGTTAAGTGCAGCGTTTTCATGACACAATTTTGAAAGCGTTATCGTTGGATCATATCATCTCAGCTGGCATGTATAGCTTTGATCATTTACACCTAACAGGTTAGACTTGTAATAATAATGTCTGAATGTGTTTCTCGTCGTAAACTGATAATACTAAGATATTTAGTGTTTATAGTGCATATGTGTAAAACCCTTTGATTCAGGTTTATCAAAAGCACATTGTTAAGCACAGCGTTCCTATCTACAGCGTTTGCTTTATTATTTCCGTCACAGTATCGACTGATGGTAGTCGTAGCACAAGACAAGATGTGGTGATCTGTCATCTGTGAAAAGACACGACTAACTGTGAGTAAACCCTTTTTAGTCCTCTGCTTAAGAATAAGTTACCGTTTACGAGGATTCGAATATCAGCAACACTTGTTGGTTTCAAGAAAATATGAAATAAGCATGGCCTATGTATACGTCTCTTACCCTTCTTAGTTAAACACAACTATTGGCAAATAAGACATAAACCAAGATTCACTTTCTTCGATTTTTAATCGCCACCGTATGAGATGATGATTTCCTTTTTGCTAATCAGCTGATTCAGCAAAACTATTGTCAAATGTCACATAGACCTAAACTGACATGACCAGCTGATTCAGTGGCACATCAAATACATGACATGTAACGGGATCACAAAGACATCATTCGGAGCAATGTTTGCGTGGCAAAGGTATGTTCTCTTTTCACACAAATATAGCACACACATATACTCAGCATAAGAACGTAACATGATATACAAATGCCTTTACTGAATAATATTATTTTGTTATTGCCTTTGTTGACAGATGAAACAGTCGGTTGGCATAGGAACCTTAAATGTCCTCTTTATTATCATGAGCAGCACGAGTTCGAACTACTGTGAGTTTCTCAGTGCTTCTGAAATTCATATTTAAGATAAAATATATTCGTAGACTTTATCATGTCCATGAATTTAAGTCATTAATGAGCCTCGGAAACATAATTCTGATCCCTCAACCAGAGGTATCAAATCAATATACTAACCTCTGATTGAAACATCCTATGGAACGAAAGTATCATCGCGGAGGCTAGTATTTACAGAAAAAAAGTGGATAAATTTAACAAATAAAATATAAATCTAGTGTTGTTAAATGTACATGTAACTTGCCTCTTCACTGAAAGCACGGTGTGTTTATCACCTCCTTGTGAACAACATAATATACATATATTTGTCACGGCTGTTTTGTACAATGTAATAATGTAAAAATATACATATATTATGCGATGTGGTGTGGGACAAGTATGACATTCGGCAACTCATCCTTCTGTTGCAGATACCACAGCAACGTTTACCTGCCCTGACGTATCCTACATCGAGGACTCTGCTCTGATGAATTGTTCAACGTCGACACCTTACACCGCTCTTCAATACACTGGTCCACGTTCAACTCCTGGTCCACAGTGTATAGCATCATTACGGTTGTGTACACCTATAGAAGCATATAATGCAAGTATCATCAACCAAACCCACAGTAGCCTCCGTATACTGACCGTGGAACCACATCACGCAGGACAGTGGACATGTGCTGATATTCCAAATGGTCCTCTTGCATCCTGCGATGTTGTCGTTACAAGTAAGTTCAATGCTGATGTTGACTTCTTGAAATACGAAAGCTCGATTATGGATAAAAATGTCTTGATTAAAAATACTACATGTAATATGTATATATCCAGTATGACAATACAATCCTTCATTATCCAACATCTGCAGCAATATCTTGGATAAATATTTTGAATTTTAGTCTGTTTTTTATAGTATTTCACTTTCACTGTTTAAATTAATGATACATTCGACAAAGTAGGTTCTTCAACTGGGTAATGTGATAAACTTGAATTATTGCAACTAGCGAAGATCAGTCATATATGCATTGTAATCGGATTTTGAGTTATATCTTGTTGTTAGTCATTGGATTAAACTATGCCTTCTACAGTACTGATTTAAGGTTGAAAATCAACCTTTCTAGAGGAAAACATTCAAAATTTACTGATGAATAAGTATTGTGTAATAGACATGTCTACCTTTTTACATGTTTGTATGTAACTTCAAGCACATCTGTCAGAAAACAGTTCAGTAAGTACTGTATATAGCATATTATCTTCTCATTAGTGATACAGGCCATATACCTTAATATCCCCTCTTTGTGGTGAAATTGAATACTTCAAAGTTTGGCCGAGCGGAATTAACTTAACATAGCAGTACAGCTGCCTCAAAAGGTATGTTACAATACGTGCAACCTGTGGGCGGGCATTTTCTGCTGCAGTTAGACGTTACATCGCAGCATGTGCACATAGGGTAGAACATCATCTTGAGCGATTTCACTCCGGGAGCATACGCCATTCAAATTGCCATTAAAAATAATGAGTTCTCCCATGAGCTGTGAAGCCCCATTACACTTACACTCGAAAACTGATGCCCCTAAAACGTTCTCTTTGACGCCTGCCTATAGACCCCTGCACGCCCATCAGAGCGGCCAAGATGAAACCTAGAAATCAGTCGACGGTATACTGTTCCAGTCTTGTCTTGCCTCATATGCTGCCCACCAGTCGACGAGTGCTTGACTTTGACCTGGATGTAGGCGTTGATGTTTTGCAAGCTGTGGTATTGCATAAGTGTTATAAAATGTTAACGAAAATAGCTTTAATTAGCACCTGATAGCTAAACAATCATTTTGCTCACATTCAAGCACCACAACCAAACACACAAACATATAAATGGAGCGCCGTACAAAAACTTGCAGATACAAATTGTAACTGAGGTCAGTAATGTCTTCATATATATCTATTGCGAGAAGAAGTATTTTACGTGGAAAAAAATGTTCCTTCATTGATTTTTATCTAAAGCACAGTTACGTTTATCCGTTAGTACATACCGTATTAGATCAGTGATCAAAAACACACTAAAATATTCCCCACCCCATATACACAGATCAGTACATTTCAAATATGGCATCACACTGCATTTATTGCAGTTCATTAGATATAAATATTCTGTATGATCTTAAATACAGACTTGAAATATTTTCAGAAAAGAAATATTTCAATTAACTATTGTGTTTATTTAATTAAGTATTAGTACATATTGACTATCCGCATTTCGAATATTACTATTATCTTGTTGATATAAACTTAATTCTGTCATACAACAATGCATGTTACTGTTTGTGATGACAGTCGTAGATGGTATCATCGGCGAATCATTGATATTGTTCTTTCTGCACTGGGTATAACTATTAAAAAGTGTCATGTCATTATGGACATTTGTATTTTCTGACAGAGCTAATCGGATATTATATCGATCAGTTCATTGCCTTTTGTTTGGAATCGTTGCTGTTGCTGTCCAACGCCCAAAGGAATAATGGCAATAACTACTTCAAAACATGCTAATACCACTCATCGAAATCAAACAGAGCATCCAACATTTGGCAACGCAATGATTGCAATTAGAATTATATCGCTCAAACCGTTTTCAGTGAACCATTTCGGTTTATAGTACGATATCCTTGTATGAAAATCGACTTTATTTTAAAGAATATTTTATTGTTTTAGAGACACCAACGTGCAACATCACCAGTAAGGAGGACACTGATGTACTTGCCCAGTATCAGGAGCTGACACTCACAGTGGACATACGGGGCTACTTCTGTTCTGCAGCTTTTTACTTCTCCTTCCAGACTGGGAACGTGTCGACACTACTGCTGGGAGCTGAACATGTAGCTAATGTCACTGACAACATTACTGCAGTGACCCTCAATGTGACGAAATCCCACCTTGGAATTGTAGGCTTGATATTCAGCTGTCACACCAAACAGTGGAATACAACTTGCGATGGCGTGTCGGAACTCAGTAAGTAGTTTACATGATTTAAAAACACAATGTAACGAATTGATGATGCCTTTTCAAGATACCTTGAAGTCAGTTAATATCAAGACGTGTCTTCTTCATAAACGTGAATACCGTCTTTATATTAACAACAGCTATTGTGAAATTGTCCTCATTGTCCTGTAGCTCATGAATAGAATATAACAACGTATTCATGTCTTATATTTATCTCTCCACTATTTGACAGGTGGCTACATCTGTTTCAGAGACTCCAACCTGCAGCATATCAGGTGACAAGCACACTGACAGACTTGCCCTGTATGAAGACCTGATACTCTTAGTTGACATTATTGGCTACAACTGTCCTGTAGCATCCAACTTCACTCTACAGACAGGGAATGTCCAACAATTACTGGATGTCAGTCATGCCAAGGCTGGTTTTGATCGTGCAGCACAAACCTTCAATGTGACCGAAACACACTTGGGTGGTGTAAGGCTGATATTCAACTGTCAACACAAACACTGGAATCTGACATGCGATGGCATAACGAAACTCCTTGAGAGTAAGTATCTCTTTATTGTCGAGGAGGCTGAGATATGAATGGCTATTACGTCTAGATGTTCTCTGATTATGATTCAGGAGCACATGGTATCATCACTATTTATTTGCGATTCATAAACACATGTTTGTGACATAGCCGCAATCGATCTATGGACGCTTATGAGTATGGAAAGGGTATTGTCGATATTAGTTCCAGTATTGTTATACAATATCTATTTCTTTCAAATATACACTTATGCATGTACCTTTAACTCCCAACAGAAGCACGTTTATGCCACTGTATTTTTTTCGATTAACTGTAGACAGCAGTGAGGCTGGCACTGCTCCAAATATGCGGCGACTATCTCAGTGATTGTGTCTTTTAACAGGTGCACAGCACGTTATATTAGATGTGCTTATTTTTATTAACAATAACATTAATACAATGGTATATTCATGCAAAGTGACATTAATCTTTTGTCTGTGAAGAATGGAAATACATATAACATTATATGTAACTTTAACATCATTGAAACTTACCTCACTCAATCGGTAACAAGTATCAAGATGGACACGTATGATACATTACCTTGCAGAAACCAAAACAGCTGGTACCAAGGAGAGCGGTGGACTAAACAGTCCAATTATAATTGCTGCAGTTGTTACGGTCATTGTCATCGTCACCGTCATCAGTGTCATTGTCGTCTTTGTATTCAACAAAAAACAGGTATGTCAAATAAACCCCAATCATCAGTTACGCCTTGTTCCCCTCCGTATATAACTGTTGGGGAACCCGGAAGTGCAGCTTATGCTACTGTTGAGGTGAATGATGTGCAACGACCACTAACTGTTCAAAATGGATATCATAACATAACTATCATGGATGTTATGCCTGTACTCAGGACTTCTTCAATAATCCTGAAAACAGATCAAGTTCGATGATGAAAAATAAATCCGATGAATATATATATAGCTGCAACATCCACAGACAAGCCTGGGAACAACCTAGGTGTAAATGTACAACATATACACCCTGAAGATAATACAAGCCGTAGCAATGAGATGTGTACAGTGCATCATGACATGAATTATCATACATTATTTTATTCTGTTTTCATAATTTCTTGTCGTGTTTCTTTTGTTTTTAAATTGATTGACTTTAGGTGTATTAATTATCGAGAAATCAATTGTTCCATCTTGTCAGGTACATGCATTAGGTACAGAGTATTAACTTGGGAATTCGTAATGCTATTCACAGGCATCACTCTGTGCATATGTCCGTCAATTTATCAGAAATAAGAGCATGGTTTTACTAATCAAGGTACAAACATGCATTGCATGTATTACAATCCTGACCTAAACCATATGTAACTTAGCTTGTGCCATTTATTCTGAAACTAGTAGTTATTCATTGCATGTTATACCCTCATGCTTACATACTAGTTTTATTTTGGACGTATACTTAAAGCGTATTGGTATGATAAAGTTTTCACATTCAGTGTTTGATGGTACCCTGCAAGCAATATCTGCGTAACATTATAACAGGTTACGCAGATATTTAAATGACAACTTTTCATGCAATGTTACTTGGTGTGACGTTTCTTTTGCGGTTTAGTATATATATATATATATACACAAACTATAACATACAATTATTTTACACATAGTCAATGTAGAGGGGCTAAGCTACGTTGTGCATGGACCATTTTATGGTTTGTTTTGTTGTTGGTTAAAACAGGTGACAGGGTCAGAAGACACACATACATGTGATAACGTGGGTGAAACTGTGAATGGAAAACGGAGGGTGTCGGCCGTGTATCCCTTTTCTGGCGAAACTGTGCACCAGACTGAGGACAATGTTGTAGTCGGCTCGGGAGGATCTGCTTCTGGTAATGCTCAACAAAGACCAGGACTGCGTATTAATCCTGTGTACATCCCCACTACTCTAGGTGGCAGCCTGGAATTACATGACACTACAGTCACAACAGGGACATCCACAGAGGCAGTTGTGATGGGTAGGTTCACTCGATTGCATGACACTAGTTTCACATTTAAATTGCATGTAGAGTTATCATGCTAATATTGACAATACTGCCCGTCTTCCTAATGATATTGAAAAATAAATTTAGACACAAAATTCAATTTTCTACTCAGAATATCAATTGTATCAACATGATTGTTACCTTGGCGAGTTGAGGCTAGCAAACA